AAATAGCTAGCAAGGAGCTTGAGGAATTGGAGTACATGCAGGTTATTCAGCGTTCTTCTATCTGATGATTGTGTAGATGACATTTTTTGCTTACAATTACATTAAAAATAAAATAAATTTATTTATGAATCCTCTGTAACCTATGGTGTATATTGACCTTTATTTTTCTGAGTTACAGTAGTTGATGTTGATTCCTTTCGTTTGTGTTTGGCCCAGATGACTGATGCTCGCTGCAACGGATGCATGGAGAAACAAGTGGGTTTGATTGATATTATTCACGCTGGACACAACGACCGCTACCAGGTTCCTACATTTCCTTTTTGATTTTTCTGCTGCCCAAATTATCATGTAATAAAAACCTATCTCGAATTTATAACATGAAGAGTGTTACTCATATAAATAATCGCTCCCTACGTGGCGGGCGAATTTTGGGGGCCCTACCCTACGTGGCAACCTTCTTCCTACGAAGTGGATTCTGGACGACCCCATGTGAATAGACTCCCTCGCAGAAGAGACGGTTTTGGCGAGGCGATGATGTGCCTGACCGATCTTGTGATGAAATGATTGACAAGACAACTCACTGTCAAAGCCACCTCTATACACCTACACGGTCAAATCCCACTTGCACAAGCTAGGGCTTGTAGGTACGCAAGAGGTCTTAGCATTTAAAGGCCATGATTGATTGATTGATCAATTGACGCATATAACGAGAAGGGCTAGTTAATCTGATAAAGCCACGTGTCCTATTATCCAACGGGCCCCATCCTTCCTACTCAAGTATAAAAACTCACACTTATTACCATTCAAGGTTAATGCAAGTTTAGACTTTTAATCCAATATTCTTGCTACATACATTCGTGATATTATATACGAAACCGACCCCCACTTTTTGCTTCATCGGATCCGATCTACGCGGATGGGAGAAACTCCTGATATCTGTTGGCCACATCTTTGATACAATTTTTGGGGTCAACAAAGAGTACACACATTGTTTGTATATTCCTGTCCTTGTAATATGAGCTAAAATAATCAAGTCTTCTAATGAGCCCAAATTTTTATTTTACTGTTTTATCGTCATATTGGATTTCTTTCTCCAAATTTTAAGTTCTAATTCTTCCCAAATTTCAATAGTTTATTCTAAAGTGTTCTAGTCAGTATGTTATGAGGTTTTCGGCAGGGACAAAAAGTACGTTTTTTGGGCTCTTGATTGAATATGCATGAGTCGGTATAACAATCTTGGTCATGTGTTGTTGTTCCGGCTGGACTGCATCGCTTGTGGTAACACCTGGTATACTTCAAGGGACGATGCTCCTGCACTAACAATTGAAGAGCCAAATTCGGCAGGGATTGTAGGCACCGCACCATTAGCTACTGCAAAGTTTGAAGATATTGAGAAGAGGCTGTCGAGTCCCCGTGGTCCCGAGAAGGGAGCCGGTGACATCTTAAAGAAAACAACAGAAGCACACATTCCAGTACTGGACAATCAAAAATCAATCAACAAAATAAGGGCCGTTGATAATCTGCCCCTACTGTTGCACAGTGAAGTCTGGAGTACTCGGGGTAAGGAGATATTTTACAACCTAAATTTATTATAGGGCTCGTTTGGCGAAGCTTATACTATGCTTCTTGTGGAAGAGTTTCCTCAGTAAGTAACATTGTACCAACTTTCGCTAAAAGATATTCTAGTGAGACAAAGCACGGCCAGAAAATTATTCAAATATATTAAAAAATAGCATCTCAGTCTCAATTCAGTTTTTGACTTTTCAAGCCCTGCCGAACGGCCAATAGTTTGGTAGAGAAGTTTTAAATTAAATGCTTTGGCAACTATGGAAAGTCATTCAGGTTGTCATCATAAACATGGGGGTGCTTATTCATTTTCTGGTCATTGGTTATTAATCTTGTTTTTATTTAGGGAAAGGACATGAAGAGGTAGCAATTGAAGTAAGTTGTTATGATCCAACGAGAAGTATAATTTATCGACTCTGTAATAAGGATAAAGATTGGAAGGATTAGGTGGCTTTATTTCTTGAGGGGAAGGATTTTGTTTTCACCTAGTTGAGCTCCTTACTTACAGAAAATGGAGAATTGAATTCATACATTTCAAGAATTAATTGCAAGGGGAAAAAAAAAATCAATGAAATGACAACCTGAATCTCTGTCTGTATTTTGTCATATGATAATTCAAAGATATCAGGATCATCCAAAAAATAAAAAATGAAATGCGACTCAGTCATTTAACCTCAGTCAGACATTTGAGAAAAAAAGTGTGGGATAGCTGAGCCATTCTTCTTTCTTTATGATACCAATCCGAGCTATACATGTAGAAGTAAAATTGTTTAGTAGCATTATTTGGTTTAATATAAATTCCATCATTGTGGTATTTCTTCGTATGATATAGCATTTGCCAAAAAGTTGTATACTTTGAAAGAAGCTTGTACAATTTCTGAAAGAGTTTTGATTGATAATATATATTGATCATACCATGTACTACCGAGCCGAGCAGTAAGCCCGAGGACT